GTTATGTTATAAATATTTATCGCGTTCTTTTGTTTTACTGACCACATGTGTTTCAAAATGATACGACCGCAGTCTTTAATCATATTTCCAGAAGTTTATCTACGTTTGAAAACGAATTGTATTCATATTATGCTGTAAGTACTAAAACTGCCTACCGGTTTTATGGGGTTTGTTTAAGGTCTACTATTGTTAACAAAGCCTACGACTTACAAGTTGGACATTTATTATGATGGAGATATGATTGGTTTTTCATTGTTATAAATATTCAATACACATTAATGTCAGTCTACATTAATGTGTATTGAACCATACCATTGTTCACATAAGAGGATTAGCCATAATCACAAAGACAAGAGAGGCAGGAGATGGCAAGAGGGTTGAAGATACCTACGTGGCAGGACCTGCGGCAGACATAGCGGTAGTTCGAGGCATGCCGGGTGTGGTGATTCTGCAAGGGCAATCTGGGTGACGGTCACATAGGCAATGAAGAAACACCGTTCCGGTTTTAGCCAGTATGAGTCCGGTACGCCCTCGTGTCGTTCCCACGACGTGGGAAGTGCATGAGGATTCCATCGTAATAGAAAAAAAGGAGGGTTAGAGATCACAGTTAGAGACCCCTGTCATAATATCCAGTTCCTTAGTCGAGTCTTGTGGCACCTTAGATAAAAACATGTAGACACAAAGTAATATTTTTGGTCATTAGCCATCAATCGTCAGTATTCTGTTCCAAAAACAAAGGAATCAAAGTTCCATGTTAAACAAAAACCTATTCTATCCTTTATTGAATAGGTTTCTATTTTCCGCGTTTTCCATCTCACATAACTTTACGGATAAGGTCCAATAGGCACAAACCATCAGGTCTCTGAGATAAATGGAATCGCTTTGGATGCGATGGATGCATTGCACTAGTTTCCGCCTCAAATGTTACTCGGTTTAGAGTTTAAACGTTGAGTTGCCATCGTGGGGAATTTTTATGTAGATCCCCTGTAGTTTGATTTGTGCTTTTCGGATTTTTTTAGTAATATTCAATGTTTTGATATTGTTGCCGCTTCTAAATTTACTATTGTCACATTGTTTTGCTTGTCTCTGTGTGTTTTTATTTTCAAAACTTTGCAGTGTTAAACGCTTTTGAGTGATCGAGGTAAAAAAACAACTTTAAAAATGCCTACCTCAGTTTATTTTTTTAAGACTAATAATTTGTCTTTAATAATTTAGTAAAAGGCCTTTGCCCTGCAGTGGGACGATCATGGTTGAAAATAAAATAAATAATAATTTGTCAACCAACAATTTATTGGACCGTTTTAACAACAATATTGATAAATAAAAATTTCGTAGTCGTCGTCATTAAGTAGGCTGCACCAACTAGAGTGCTAAAAAATAGCTATAATTTATACTATTTCTACGTTTAAAAAATAAAATAGCTGGCAACATTTTAAAACGTTCGGATATTAAACTGTACAATGGTCGGTAATATCTCGTATTATTTCCGTTTCCGTCAGCATTTCGATACAGTTTGCATCAGCTGTTTTCTTCAATAAGGAAATATTCGTGCTGCGATTTACAATGCTTGATATTTCTCTTCCTTTTTACTTTAATGGTGGAGATTGAATTCATAGTGAGGTTGTATCTTAGGTGGTATTTTGTCGATCTAGCGACTGCAGAACGATTATGCGTTATGCGTGTGTGATTCGAACTATGCATCTGTTAGACAAGTTATGATAATATATGAAGTGTTGGATTCTTGCGTTGGCCAAAGATTCAATGGGGTTCTTTTAGTTTTTAATTGTTTATACTTCAAACTCACCTCCTATTACACGGAACTCATAATATAGCTAGTGGAAAGCAGGTGTCAGAATGTTTACACTTTTGGCTATACCTGGCGTGACAGTACATCAAAACAAAAAAAAAAACGAATTAATCTTTATATTATGTGACACTTATAAGCATACCTAATAAATAGTCTTGTCTACCTTTCTCAAGGAATATTCATATACGGATAGAAAAAAGACAAAATAAAAATGCGTGTAAAATTAATAAGAGGTTTTTAATTTCATTCATTATTATGAGAGCAAACTGGTAGTGTCAATATTTAGATAATATTCTGTCTACGGCTACAGACCACAGTGCAGGAGAGATGAGAAGAACAATTTGACAAAAATGTTCTTTAAAGGCCGGAGGAAACCTTCAAAAGCTTTTGGGAAGGAAGAATATGGAGTTGGAATCCTTATTTAGCATCTTTTTTTTTATGGGACAATCCCGCCACATCCTGCCACAACAGAGGCAACTTCTGCAAGCCAGGATCTACAGTAGATACAACCATGAATCACCGGAACTCTGAAGTCTCAGGGACTTGATTAACTGTCTTGGTTTCCGCAAGGAAATAAATCAGAAGATATTATAAGAAGAGAAGAAAAAAAACGATAGTTTCCACTTCCCTCGGTGAATTTATGCAGGTTACAGAATGAATTAAGCCTAAAGGCACAAAAAGAGGGTATAAAACTGGGCCTAGTCGCCAAGCACCATGAAAATTTGACTATAAACTAAGCTATAATAATAATAATAATAATCTTTATTGATGATAAAATGAGCAAAATACAAAATATTATCTTAATAAGCGATGTAGACCTTATACAGTTAGATGCCTGTACTAGGAAAGCCCTGTATCACAGGCGAAAGTAGTTTTAACATTATATACTAATTTAGGACATCTTATTTCTATAAACCAATATTACTTATCATGACTTAGCGAATTCAACTATGATTATTTTATATATATATTTTATATATAAATACATTCATTATAATATAATAATACCTACATAATTATGACAAATTATTTAGAACTAATACATAATATGACTACAGCTGTGGAATTACATACATCGGCAGAAACATAAATAAAACTAGGTTACTAAGTTCTTATGGTCATTCACTTCACTCGTGTTATTATAAAGTATTAAAATTTTTTGCTTGTACAGCAACAAAGTTTCCGTCGGCTAACTGGATACGTTGCGCAATTATTGTGCAAAGGAAGGTGAACACCTAACTCTGACGTACAACAATATGCGTACTATGCACCTTCATAGTCTATTGAGTTGATGAATCTGTACTCCGCTATTTTCCTAGCAGGGCACTCAGCGTCACCCGTTTTATGCTTATTCGGCTTGCTATAGCGGGTACAAGTTGCACACTTAGGAGATTCCGTTGTTTTCTTGCACTCAGAAAATGCGTGTCCTACTTCTCCACAATGACCACACGATAAAAAGGGCTCTCGACAGGTTTTTGCTGCGTGACCGTATTGCTGGCATTTATAGCATCTAGTAACGAGCGTAAAATCTCTGACAGGGCACGAAGTCCAATTGATGTAAAGTCTTTCCTGAGAAATAAGAGCTTTGCGTATCTTGCCAGAGACTTGTATGATATAATTGCAGGCCGGTGCGTCCTTTCTTCCGGATTTATGGCTTAACTTTACATCTTTTAGAAAGGATTCCATTGAGATCCCTGAAAACTTGTCAGCTACGTTCTGCTCATAAATGCACTTGAATACTTCAGCATCAGACATAGAGCTCGGTACTCCTACAACCGTAAGTCGTGGTTGACGTTTTTTAGGTTCGTCGGTGGTAAGGCCAGATGATGATAGCTGAACTGCATCCTTAACTTTTTCAGCGTCTTCCTTGGTTTCGGTGCTAATTATAACACCTCCATTTTGTGTTTTACGGAGTCCTCGGACATGCAACTTCAATTCATCAGGGCGTATTATTTTCTGGACTATAGTTTTGGTTTCGTCACTTGATTGTACTAATGGGTTCACAGGGTAAATAGCGACAGAGCTCAAATTGTTGGGACGCACGAAGTTCTTACCCTTTTTCACCATGTCAGCAAATGAATTATTATTTCCCATTCCAGTAGAGTCTTTGATTGTATTCTTGATCTCCGAAATTTGATCTGCCAGGTCACGTCTCTCCTTTAGGTCATCAATGATGTTAATAGCTAGACGGGACTTTTGCTTTAGAGATTGATACAAAACTGCCATTTGTGAGACGCTGGATCCAATTTTACGGCTCAGGTTTGTAATTTTCAATTTTTGCTCTGAGTTAAGTTTTCCCTCCGTAGCAATAGAGCAAACTTCATTTAATTGTTGTTCGATTGACGCCATCCATTTCTGTATTTCGGGCGTTGACACAACTTCGATAGTGAAGTCAGTTTGAAGGCTGCTTTTAATTGGTGAGGCACAGGAAGCGAGGTTGCTGGGGCTCTTATCCATTTTTAACCGATATAATATGTTTATGTTTCCATATTATAATACTTATTTTCAGAGTATAAGCAAAACTAAATCAAGTAGGTCACTATTATTGCATTAAATTAAATATTGCTAATAAGCACGTCTGTTCACTTCGAACGGCGAATGCGAATCGAGCTATTTGTGAGCTATCATTTAGCATCTATAAGGTCCAGGGTCCTTTAAATGGTCTGGCTCCGGAGCCCCCGCTGCGCAGTGCCTTCAAAATAATAAGTCTTTAAAAGTACCTTTAACGGAAGATGTTTTTTTTACAATTTTTCTATTATTATGATGTCCCATGTTTACGTATCATTTTTATTGCAGTCATTGTAAACTAGATACACACTGATTTAATGATTCTTGAATTACATTCAGTAAATAGTTAATAGAAAAGTTTAGTGAAACAAGTGAAACAAGTGAATTTATTTCTGCAAATAGGCTACAAGGCAGCTCTTTTACACGTCAATTTTATCAAGCGAACGTTGAGGTCGACATTTCCTAACTGACTAATCTGAGAAGAAATGCCGAAACAAACTCAGAGGTCCGTCTCTTTTAAAGTCCAGACAAATAGAAAAGTACCTGCCAATGAACCTTTTCCAATGGTTTAATGATTTTCCTCTTAATTTACTTATTTCTTTAAGCTCATAATAATTATAATGTCAACATAACACAGAGTCAATTAACTCAAGTCTACTCAATATTTGTCGTAAAATAATTTTGCTAGCCAAACAGACAAAATTCAATTTTAATTATAATAATATTAGTTGATTGAAATAATGAGTCTCATAATGCTAAGATTTTTAAATTGTCGAGGAAATACTTAATTAATCTTTGTGCAACCATAATTATGGCTTACTCGTAATCCACGAGGTTACTTGACCGGTTTCAAGTGACACCAGGGGTCTATACCTATGAGTGTAGAGAAGATTCTTATTGATGTATGGTCAATGCCATAACATTGGATCATGGATAATTCCGGAGTTCTACAGTTGAAACATAATTATTCGAATTTCCAACTAGTATCACGGGTCACTTGTTTGCTTGTTTCACAGATATTATTTTCGTAACTTCAGAAAATAATGATGCTTAAATACATAATATTATATCACATTTAAAAGATAAGTACATAGTATTTAATAAGTGACGATGGACAGACAACATGGTGCCCTTTGCAGCCGCCATATCATGTCTGCGGGTGAACTTTAAACTGTTATTCCTTATTTGGACATTTACTTAACGTTATTAACAAAATAATTATGTAAAGTGCGTTGAAAAATATATTGGAGAACTCTTTTATTTTGTTGTTATTTGGTCATTTTTTTTTGTAGCTACGGTACTGATTTTTAACGGTATTTTTTTTAAGGGGGGAAAATCATCGAATTACCGCTCCCGCCTGGGTGTCAGAGCCGCCTGGAGGGAGTGTCAGACTATTACTGCCTAAAAACTACCCCGTTCCTTCTCCTGCACATCGAGCCGGAGCCCTGGTAACCCGTTAGGTTCTACCGATAAAATTTATAGTTAAAACAATAGTAATAACACAGGAGTCGACACCCCACACTTGCTCTTTTTCAAGCGAGGGGGCACCAAAAGAATCTTTCACAAGGAGAAAAGATTAATAGACCTTTGGCGTTAATCCATCGACCTATCCATATATATACACATCATTAGCTAAAATGCCTCTGTCTACATTTCCTACGTGCCTATATAGACTTTAAAAGACATCAATAAACCGAACTCCTGACTACCTCGTCGGCCGAGTGGTCGCAAGTGCGATTGCCGGGCAAGGGGTTTGCCAGGTCGCGCAAAGTATTACTGGGTTTTTTTAAATAAAATTCTCAGTAGTATCACGGAGTCTGGAATTGTGCCTAGTATTATGACATACATACATTAGACTCGCCCCCTATTACATGGGATAGTGAAAAATGGTGAAAGGTGTTACATTGTACAGTGGCATTAAGTGTCGTATTGTTATGTTATGTAAAATTTCTTTTGGCATTGAATCCAATACTCCTTGCTCAATAGTTGTGCTTGAGAATATTCAACCAACGACTAAGATGGTATGATTCACCTTTTTAATAAATATAAAGTAACAGTTTACTGAACGCAATTCAACATAAAATGTCCACGGCAGGTGTCATTCACTATCAGATTTTATCATCAACGTTTAATTTACAACTGTTCTCATATTTTTAACCGACTTACGAATACGTAATACTTAGGTCAGTGTGTCAACTTGACATTAGTCGTATGTTCGGTAATGTTTTGTAACTAAAAGTAAATATATATTATAATTCTGTTTGTCATCGTGTACGTTTATTTTGTTGTTCTATAAGAAAGGTGTTTTTAATGGTCACCACAGAGCCTACGGCTAAAACTAGTGCGAATAACTTTTACATAACAATATACATTTTTTTTTAAGAGGGGAAAAGTTATCGATTGACTTCCCCCACCTGGGTGAGGCGGGAGGGAGTGTCAGACTCTTACTGACTAAAAACCACCCCGTTCCTACTCCTGCCCGTCGAGCCCTGGAAACCCGTTAAGTCCCCCGCGGCTCCGTATCGGCATCAGCCCTAACAATATAACATTAACATTACGTCACTTAATGCCACTGTACAATGTTTCCATCCCACACACCCACTTTTCACTATTTATGACGTTATGATTCCCATGTAATAGGGGGTGAGTCTATTGCCATATACCGGGTACAATTCCATTGAGATTACTACTGAGATTTTTTTAAAAAACCCAGTAGCACTTTGCCGATCCGGTAATGAACAATTTTTGTTTTTTTCTTTAATTAATGCTTTGTTACTTGAATGGGATTGATTTATGTAAAGATCAACCATTCTATACTGTTCTTATAAAGTTTTAACGCACTATCGAAGTCTTTAATCGACATTCCGTTTGACTGTATTAAATCGACATAGAGTTTCGATAAAAAAATCCAAAAGATACAATATCACACTTTTTCGGAATAGGTTCTATATCAGACGAATATCCCAGACCCTTGAATTCATAAAGGCGATGAATTATATATCGAATAGTTCTAGACGCTTCGATTACAATTTCATGAAGGGTGCAAGGGATGAACATCAATTTCCAGTCGCACCTTCTCTCTCTCTTGGGAACGTCCTGAACTGAACAAGTTATTGAGGTGTCAGCAATGTACTGATTTATTCCAATGACTAATACACAGGGAAATTGCTTTATTTTCTTGTTCCTTGAAAGACTTAAGTATATGATTGCAAGGGACTAGATTTACCAACTGATTGGACATTGAGAAGTTAAACCTTAAACTCTTTGACTATGGCCTAATTTTTTTCTTATTTGATGAACCGACGTTTGACCCCTATCTCGCCTGGCGATAAGCGGTGATGCGGTCGACGATGGAGCACGTCGACCCATAAGCAACCTTTTCACTCAAGCATTGAAGACACCCAGGTTATACCCTTCAGGTAATACAGACTCTGGCAAAGAATTCCACTCCTTAGTAGTACGCACAAGGAAGTTGCGAAGAGCTTCGTGCGGATGGGTGCGAAACTTTATAGAGCGTTTTTTTTGTAGTTGGATTTCAATTTTATAAATTATTTTTTACCTCTATATCAAATTTATCTTATCTTATACTATTGTTGAACTTGTCTGTTTGAACGCGCTAATCTCCGTAACTACAAGTCTGATTTGAATAATTCTTTTTGAGGATGGCTATAGGCTATAAAACATCACGCTACAACCAATAGGAGCTGAGCAGAGCGTGTGAAACCGCGCGGGGTTTTAGCTAGTTTAAGATAAACCCATTAAATAAAACCGAAATTGCTCAGCTCACCAACATACTATATCACGCACTCAACTCATATTTGCTTTACACATACGCTACTTTGGTAACAACGAATTAGAAAAGTTTGGAGCCGTTCAAACAAAATCTTTACATAACTATGACTTAACTTGGAGTGAACACAGAACCTTGACACTTGACTGACCGGTATACAGTCGCTAATCGTATGTTAAATTGTTGGACAAACATACTTTCATAGTTTGATGTAGTTAGAGGTGCCTATGCGCTATGTGTCTAATTTTTTACATAGATTTTGGAATTCTTGTATTTGTTTAGTCTGGACTTTAAAATCACATCACATCACATAATACAACAACGCCTTTTATCCCCGAAGGGGTAGGCAGAGGTGCACACGACTTTAAAATGAAAATATAAAATATAGCTGTTCCCCGATTTCGTCTGCGTATAATAATGACTGTGGCAGAGTTTAGGTTCTTTTAATAATCTTTTCCAAGGTTAATGCCGATGCTGCGTAACAAATCTGTGCCTTTACCCAAACGCCACTTTAGCGCTTGTCTACAGAGAGAGTAGAAAACTAAATGTCAAAATTAACGTCAATTCCATATCATTTAGTTTTCCACTCTACAAGTACACAAGCACTAAATGGCATGTGGCTACAGCTACTGATCAAAATCGTTCAAGTACCTAAGTTTGAATTGAAATGAATTGATTTTCGTGATTTCAGAAAATTAACAAGATCGAATATATTTTTACTGTTATAAATAATAAAACATAGCCATAACATCTTTTATCTCCAAAGGGACAGACAGGGGTGCACATTACGGCATTTAATGTCACTGTACAATGTAACATCCACTTTTCACTACCTATTTATGTTATGAGTCCCATGTAATAGGGGGTCACCCACTATTACATGGGACTCGTATTCCTATCCTATTACCATATACCGGGCTCAATTCCAGACCCCAAGCTACTACATAGAATCGTTTTTTTAAACCCAGTAATACTTTGTATTATTATTATAAAAAAATATTAACATTAATATCACGTTATTCTTTCTGGGGAGTTAGGCAGATGTGGGGAGGTGCACGTCTAATATGGAATAACTTTTTTCCTTAGTATGTTATGTAGTAAGTACCTAATGAGTTCATTGAAATAAGAGGTGGCCTTATTATCTCTGTTTAAAGAAATAAAAGACAAGGTGTAAAGTACGTGAATTTTGATTAACTGATAAGCTGAATAAATGACAATGACCAAATTTGTATGGAGCGTGGTGCCTTTTCATTTTTTCGCGGCAGTTGATCGAATGTGGAAAAACTGATGCAGAATAACATTAC